CCCAGGTCACACGTAATAGAATACTCAACGTTGAGCTAGCTCAACGGTGCAAGTGGGACATGGCCCCCGGGCGGCCTGGCTGGTAGCCTAGAAAATTTATAAAAAAAATAAAAAATAAAAAGAGAATTAAAATGTGTGAGCGTGCCAGCACCTTTTTGACACTGCCATCTTTGCCGATTTGTAATTATTTTTTGGCATTTACAAATGCCCTGAAAATTTACAGATATGTAGTTTACATAATCAATAACTCATTAATTTTTTTTCAAAACATAATAATTTTTTTTAGGCCCCGAAATAAAGTGAAAACAAATTAAAAGTGAAAAAAAACAAAATAGTGAGTGGGTGAGCACGTTTTGACACCCCCATCTTTGACGATTTTTAATGTTTTTTTTGGCTTAGCAGAATGGCTTCAAAGTTTATAGGCGTGTAGGTTACATCATAAAGAACTCGCAAAAAAAAAAATCAGAAAAAAAAACTTATTTTTAGGCCCCGAAATTTGTTTTGGGGGGGGCCAAACCCCTCCAGGTTCGGCCCCCGAACGGGACCCCGAACGCCCGAACGTTCGGGGGCCAGCCCGGGGGCTGGCCCCCGAACGTTTGGTCAGGTAACCCTATATATATAAACTCCGACGAAACAGTTTGTCACAGCCCCTCGTTTGTTGTCCTCTTCTCTCTCTCTGCCTACGGTTTACCGGGCAGTTCTATTTGTGATGATATATATAGATATATATCTTTTTTCGGTTCTCTTTCCTTTTCCCCTTTTTAAAAGGCCAATGGGCTCGATATATGATTCTCGAACTGGCCAGCCCCAGGTCAGTGTGAGGTGAAATTGAGAGAAGAATATAGCTTAAAAAAAAAAAAAAAAAAAAAAAAAAAAAAAAAAAAAAGAAGAAATAATTAAAAAATAATAAAAATTCATTCATCTCGTTCCATTCGGATTTGAACTCACGTCCTTATTCTCAAATAGTTCATGGGTGTACCAACTACAGTCAAAACCAAACGAACTTAAATGACCTGGGGCACTAGAATTTTTACATGGGAGAATCCCCTTATCCCAAATACGGTGTCACTACACACAAGGTCTTCAGTGGGACTGCTAGGGGTGGGGTACTGGCCCCTGGGGCCACCTATAGGGAGGGGTGCCTCCAGGGGGGGTATAGTAGTAGCAAGGGAGGGAGCATTCCCCTTACGTGGGGCCTCATCATGAAAGGCGGAGAGGTCTTAGTTGGGAGGACGTGCAGCATAGGGATATGGTCTATGCGGAAGCGCGGGAGTTGGGTTGGGTCTGGAGGGTCTACGGACCCTGCGGCTTGGATGGCAGGGTAGTCTCACAGGGGCCAGGGGCAGATTATTAGGAACCTGTGGAGGGCAGTGTGGACTTACCTGCTTCTCCCTCCCCCCCCCCCCCCCCCCCCCGTCCTCTTTTTACCTGTCTACTCTTTGATACAGTTAAGAGTACAAAGCTATCTATCACCACCACACAATAGTATATCGGAATAACGTACCTATGGGACCTGTAAAGATATGGCTACTCCTAGCGCCCGAAGTACCCATGCGGCCGCAAGGTTCGGACAACTATGCTTCGATCAGGACTGAATAGAGTAAGTAGGGCTCTACTTAGTCCGGTATCCGTGACCACTGTCCGGTCAGGTCACCTCCATCTGTAATAGACTGTAAGGTGATGGTCCTTAGTGGATAAGGCAGGACTGTGGTAGTAGAGGTGCGCCGGGGGAAAACTACGCAAGTGGTAGCTTGGAAGGGAAGTTCCATACATAGGAATACCGCATAGCCAACTGCCGAAGGCACCCCCTCATATGTCTAGAAACCCAACCTCTACTACAACCTGGGCTTTTCTTCAACCAAAAAAAAAAAAAAAAAAAAAACAAAAAAAAAAACGTCACTGCACACAGGGTGTTAAGTGGGATTGGGCCTCCCCGCAGCTTTCTTCAAATCTGGAGAAAACAATATGGTGGGCGTATCTGTCCATGTTCTACTTGAAAATTCATTCTCATTTTGCGCATTTGGAGAGTGGTGCTGTGAGGCCCATGGTTAGGGGTGGATGGCGAAAGCCGCTTGGGTCGTTGGAAAAATGATAGCAAAAGGTTGGAAAATGGTGTATCACTTATCAGCTTTCAGGATGGAAGACCTCCCTCTCACCCCCCCTCTCCAGCCCTCTCCCCCCTCTGCCCCCCTTCTCCCTCTGCCCAAGTGGAAGGCATTTTAGGCACCAGGAAGAGCGCCGCATGCCTTTAATCTAAGTGGAGTGCATCTCAGAAAAAAAGGCATAAAGAAAGTCCATGGGATGGGCAAGCAAGGGAGGGGAAAAAACAAAAAAAAGAAAAAAAAAAAGGATTGGCAAGCAGGCTATGGGTGACAAATTGATTAGAAAAACAAATTGATTATTAAGGCACACATATGATTGGGGGAAAGGGAAAATCTAAGATGAATTTGAGAGAAACGAAATACTACAGCAAAAAAAAAAAGATAAAAAAAAATAGATATCCCAAAATAGATATCCCAATGGTCGGTTTCTAAGTCTACCACATATTTATATTTATATTTTATATATTTGAATAATATGTGCATGCCTATTGGAGCTACTCCTTATTATTTGACGATATGTATACTCTCTTGCCTCTGAAATGCCTTTTTTTTTTTTTGGTTGCGGTTGTAGACAATGGGAAACGTTGTCAGTTGCAGCTTATTCCGGAAGGCCGTTTGTTTCTGATGTCGGAGGCCGACTGCGTCCACAGGGGACAGGGTCCAAACACTGGAGCCCCGAGTCAAGACGCAGGAAGTACAAAACTCCAGCAGCGCTTGGACGACAACATATATTTTCTGCTCGCTCAATGCGAAAGTGCTGCTGCGGTCTGTTTCAATTGATGCAACCGCCGAGCGAGTAGAAGTGAGAGTAGCTTCTATAGCTATGGCGCTGGGCGTCATTGACTACCCTTTTTGGGTTTTCGAAACTCGTGTGTGCAATTTGGGTGTTGGGCTTTGTGTGAGACTTGTGTGCATGTGTCCATGTGTGGTGGACTCATTCCCAAGTGTGAAAATGGTGAAATAATTTAAATAAAAAAATAAAGTTAATTGCACTTAGTCCTTTTCTTTCCTTCAAACCACCCGTACATCCGGAAAAGCAGATTGAGCCTCTCCTAAAATTTTGGAGTCCACGGACCATGGACCGTCGATAAAATGAATTGGCGGTTCAGGGCCTCCTATTTTTCAGGAGAGGGTAAAAAAATCTCCTTTTACGGATGTAGGGGTGGTAGAAAATTGACTGTGCTATTTCAGTTAGTCCTTTTTTTTTTCCTTAAATTTTAAAATGCACTACGTTATTGTTCTTCTCGCCATATTTTTTCCACCTCACACTGGCTACCTACATTCCTCTCGCCATATTTTTTCCACCTCACACTGGCTACCTACATTCCTCTCGCCATCTACCCACGTATCTCGCATTGCAGAACTCCACATTCATGCATGCACCGAACGGGAACCGCTGCGTACTGAAGGGGGGAAACTAACGACGGCTATCCGGTGTATCCACTCTTTTTTTTTTTCTTTTTTTTTTTTTGAAAGGGCGGCAGTCTTGAGATATATCCACAGGTGACTGGCCCCAGGTAATTTGAGATGATTATGGAAGTTGTTGTAGATTATATGTCGTGATCATGACTGATTGAACTTATTTATTGAGCTTATGTTGCAGGGAGTAGTCCCTAAAGCTGCTCCCCATTTGTGAACCTGATTTTTAACCCAGATGACAACAACCCCCATCTTTCAAATGAGCTACGTTAAACCCCCAGTGCCTGTTAACGTGCCAGGATTTTAGGAAATGTACGGGTCATTACAGGAGCGCCCAAATTCATCCGACTAGAAAACTTTCTACGCTATTCTTTCTTCCACGGCGGATAGTTGTTTTAAACCACTAGTACAC